CATTCACACACATACACAAGAGCCAATTTACCTTATTCAATTCAGCTATAGCGCATGTGTTCGGACTGTGGGGGAAACCCACGTCATCACAAGGAGAACATGCAAACTCCACACAGAAATGTCAACTGACCCAGCCGGGACTCGTACCAGCAGTCAGTTTGGCCTGCTATTGCATTGGATTCTAAGAAAAGAAATCTACTTTAAAGGTCCAACAACATTTGAACCACACTCACCCTCCTATTCAACTAACATTATCAATATTTCTCCCTCAGCACATAAAAAACTGCTTTCTAATGCCAAAAACCATACGCAATCGTGCATGATATACAAAAGTAAACTAAACAAACTAAACAAAAGTACACTAAAGTGAAGTTTTCATAACTTAAGTTGCACCAAATAAATGCATGCGACGCTGTAAGATTCTGACAGTTTGATTATCTTGGATAAAAATATCAAAGTATAATGGTGTTGGTATTGTGAAAACAGCAACTTTTCCCCCCACATTGAACACAGTACATTTTATTTTATGAAACATTTAAATAGTGGTAGTAGTCATTGTAGTAGTAGTAGTAGTAGTAGTAGTAGTAGTAGTTGTGGCTGTAGTAGCAGTAGTAATAGTTGTAACACTAGAAACTCTCCGTAGTAATAGTAGTAGTTGGTGTAGTACTTGTAATTTATTGTTATTATTATTATTATTATTATTATTATTATTATTATTATTATTGTAGTGGTTGTTGTTTAAGATTATTGCTGTTGTCCTTTCTTGCTTGTTTACTGTCATTATTACTATCATTATTTCACTAGCATTGTTGTCGCTCCTTATCACTGAATGGTTTCTTTCTATCTGTTTTTTTTTCCTTTGTGTGTGTGTGTTTGTGTGTGTGTGTGTGTGTATGTTACTTGCTTCATTTAGTGACTGTTACTGTTCCTTTTTTTATGTACTCTAAACTGTTTACCAAGTTAGCTTAACATGCACACACATATGCCAGCACACATACACGAACACACACACCTGCCAGTATTTGACTGTATTGTTGTTGTTTTTGGTATTTTTGTTATTGTTTCATTTTCTTTGTATTTGTATCATCTCAAATTGTGTACCTTTTTGTATATTTTAATAATAATAATTTTTAAAAAAGAAACGTTTAAATTATTTTGTAATAGTACCAGATACAGGAATCAGAGAGTGAAATTCAATACCTTTTAAGCAGAGATGTATAGTAACAAAGTAGAACTACTTCACTACTGTACTTAAGTACTAATAGGGTGTATCAATACTCTACTGGAGTATTGTTTTTTCTCCTACTTCCACGTTTACTTCAGTACATATTTTCGATGAGTTTAATACTTTAAATATTTTTTTATGTGCTGCATCGTTACTCGTTACTAGGGGTGTCAAAATTGTTGATATCGGTTCAGTAATAGATCATAACCGGTTATTACGTACTGACGTCATTTATCTCCTATGCGCAATGTTGCAATACTGTGGCGAAGAAGGCGAGGGCGAGTAATTAACGCTCTTACTACAATGAAGGCGGCACACCACAAGCCGCTATTTCACTACAAGGGAGAATTGCTGTAAAATTCCATCTTTACCTCTCTCTCTCTCTTCTTTTGCACATTTGACCCGCTGGCCTGTTTGTGAGGTAACTTTTCCTCGCCTCTTGGCTCTTAAAGCGATACTTGTGGATCCTGACACGAGCGTGCCTGAGGTTTGAGTTTTCTCAACTGTGTCTATTACGGATAACCGGTGATAATCGCGTATTATTCGCATATAGACTGTAACTGCAGCTGTTCTTCCCGCCATCGGTGAACAGCGCTTTCATTTCTAACGCCAATCGCAGCCCTTTCTGTTGAGCAGGTGAAGACAATGACCAATCTGTCAGCGCTCAAAAAGCAAGCTGGATAATATTTACATTAGTTTATTTGCTGTAAATGCTCATGCTGGCTTCTGTGCATGTGTTGGAGTTTTGTTTGATACATTCAGAAAGAGTGTTTTCTTTGAGCAGGTCAAATTAAGAGTACAGTTCATATGTCTTACTGCTGTATTAAAGAACAAAATTGTATTACAAAAAATATAGAAATATATTTGTAGATTTTAATTAAAAAAATTATTGTGTTGTGAAGAAAAAATCTAATTATATATGGCAAGCATCGTCAATGCACCGAGATGCACCGAGATATCGAATTGAACCGAATCGATGGCATGATAATTGTAACTGAACCAAACTGTGACACCTAGTGTAGATTCACACCCCTACTCGTTACAATTATAGATCTTTTTCTTGGCTGCTGCATGGAGGGCGCCAGTGACCAGCGTCTTCCGGTAAAATGTTTAGAACTTCCGCTTACATCGTTTACAACCGGAAATTTGCAATCCGAAAATGGGTTTCAATAGCGTTTAGAGTTGATTACGAAGTGTTTTTGTCACACACAACTTTGAAAGGTGTGTGTTAAAGCCGTTATAATCTGTCAGATCTGTGGTTCAAGCCCGAGAGAAAAACAGTATCGTAAACCATGTTTCTTTTCGATCTGCTTAATCACTTGCCTCAAAAAAAGATATTTAAAATAAACAAAACAATATGATGTCTATTGACTGCTTTCTTTAATAAGCACATTACACAATACTTGTACTTTTACTTTCAGTACTCGAGTCGTAAATTATTAAATAAACTACTTGCAACACTTAAGTACAAAAATGTTGAATAGTACTTCCACTTAAGTATTGTGCTTAAAGAGCACTTCAACTTCTACTCAAGTCACTTTTTTGATAGAGCACTTGTACTTTTACTTAAGTCTGGGTCTCTAGTACTTTACACATCTCTGCTTTTAAGACTCATTCCATGCATTTTAAGACCTTATAAGCACTTTAGGTTTCAACCGGAAACACTTTAACTTAAAGTATATTTACTAAAAATTAATGTAAGAAACTAATCCAAAACTAAAACAATATTCATATACTGAATAAAAATCTATTAAATCTAGCTAATTCAGCAGGTTGGCGCCTATAGAACTGCAGAAATAACAGTGCTGCCTTGATTACTGCAATAAACAAAGTAGCATGATGTCAAATCTAGTAGGATTTCATTGATTTCATAAACTACACAGCATCCTGTTGCTCACAGATTTAATTCAGGTAAACTTTAGCATATACACTGAATAATGAAAAATGAAATAAAATTGAATACCTTTTAAATACTTTTTAAGGGCCTTAAATTTCTCTACATTGATTTGTCAACTTTGAATACTTTTTAAGACCCCACAGAGTGAAGATGTCAGGCTGAATAATTAAAATAAATCAGACTTCCGCTTCATTAGTTTCAAAAACAAGTTAAAAAGGCATCTTTGGATATCATTCTTTTCTGTGGATATAAAGTAAAGCCACTGCACTGTTCAGATTATTCTTGGATGTTGATGCAAAATCGATTTGTTTTTTAAATGTTTCCTGAATCGTGGGCTGACCAGCAGCCAATAGGGTATATGCAGAAGCATGCAAAAGAACTTTTAATTTGTCAGTTACCTGGGTCAAACGCTTCTGGTGAACTGTATGCCGCTACTAAATCAGCACGTCTAAGGTCTGTTATCTTTAAAAATCAATAATTCTCACTGCCTGATTGATATATAAAAATTAAGTGGGTCTCAGATTGTACAAGAAGCACTGCATTACATTACATTTTTCTGCACCATGTCTTTAAAGTACTTAAATTTATTTCAATTCAGTATTTACAATGGCGTTTCTGCGCTAGCTCATCCTGATGAGCACGTGCAAGTAAACACCATTTTGGTTTAATTGAATGCTGAAGTCTATTTAACGGACTATATTTAAATTACATTATAACATCGATGCTGTAAAAGGAACTGTATAAAATTGAAAAAGTTACCGTAAATCGTGGTATGGGAAGAAACAATAGCTCTGCATGTACCCTATTGAGGTAGAGAGTCCTTTTCTAGTGGATAATCTGTTGCCCTAAAAAACTAAATAAAATAGTCAAAAAAAAAAAAAAAACAACATCAACAACTTACATATACCATAGGATTGGTATAACATAATATTCTAGAGGTGTTAAAACTTTTATTTTTCCAAATCAGGGTAAACCTTGAAACCAGTTATTGTCCCATGCCTATAGCTGAATGTCACCAACAACAAATAAAATTGCATATGTAAAAGTAAATAATGAACTAACACCGCCTTATCTAACTTAACTCAATGACTTTTAATGCAATATTTTAAGGATTTGTAATGGATGCATGAGCCTTACCTTCTCAAATTGACACTCATAGACTGAAAATAGAGTCTTGTTTCTAGTCCATATATGTTAAAATGTCTTAAATCAGGAAGCATTTTGTAATCTCATTTCAAAGTGAAATCCAGCTGCAACCCATCACTGGAAAACACTCATTTACTGTCATTCACACTCATACACTATTGCCAAAATAAGCTTACCCACTTCACTTATAGCACATGTGTTGGGCTGTGAGGGAAACCAGAGCAGCCAGAGGAAACCCGGAAAAACAAACACTACACTATAACATAAGGTATATTTCACTCAAAACTGAAGATTGACATGAGTTACTATTTGACTTGTCACTTGTGTTGAAGACTGATTGGTATTGACTTAAATACACTCTCAGAAATAAAGGTACCTAGCTGTCACTTGGGTGGTACCTTTTCAAAAGGTACAAATTTGTACCTAAAAGGTCAGTACCTCGAAGGTATAAGTACCTAAAAAGTACAAAAGTGTTCCTCTTAAAATTTTTAGGAATTTTTATGTACTAATATATAGTTTTGAGGTACCATGTACTCTTTAAGTACAAATGTGCTTTTTTTTAAAAGGTACCAAGTGACAGCTGTCGTACCTTTATTTCTGTGAGTGTAAGTCAACAGTACCAGTTGTCAACAAAAGTAATGAGTCAAATAGTCAGTTTTGGGTGAAATAAACTTATATTTTACAGTTAATTAATTTAATAATTATGAATGAATGTTAATACTCATAACTCACCGATTCTGAGGACCTGCTGCGCGCTGAGACCGACCTCCGCCATCAGACACAGCAGGATGAAACTCACACCTGTCCGCTTCAGCAGCGCACACCTGCGGGAGGAACATTTAACATCCATATCCGTCTTCCTTCTGTATCCATACAGGAACAAATCCCATCCGAGCAGCATGTCTTTCCACTCACTCGCACTGGTGCTCATGGGAGTCACTCATCCTGGTGCTAACTGGGCATCACTTTCCAGAACAAGTGGCCGAGAATGAGCATCCTTTCCCGGGGTGCTTCAGGACATTCTGGCGCTGCGAGGAACCGAGCGACTCCAAATGAGGCCACTGGTGACTCTCTGATCCGCAAACATGGATCCGTTTGTGAAGATTAACTTCAAATCTCGCTGCTGCCGACCTCGACAACGTCTTTACTCTTTTGGTACACCGAGGAAATGATTAAATCTTGTGCCGGAGCTCTGATGGAAGCGCACATCTGCCAGCGGATTAAATACGCGTTTATCTGTCACTCACTCGCTCACTGTCTGAGTTCACCAAAACGGGAAAGACACCTCATTCAAAGGCAGTTTAACCCACTTTTTACAAAAAAAAGAAAGAAAAAAAAAAGGTTCTTGTTGCATAGAAGAAAAAAAAATCAACCCAAACGAGATCAGAAGAGCAGTGCGCTGAGGGAGGTTTGTGCGGATTTGAATCGTTCAAATGACTCGAATCTTTCATTTAAAAAAAACAAAACATAATAAAACACTGGAAGACTCCTCATTTAAAGGCAGTTTAAGCCGCCTTTAAATAAAAAATACAATTAAAAACAAAAATGTTCTTATTGCATTCACGATGCTTATTACGAGATCAGGAGAGCAGTTTGCGCTGAGAGAAGTCTGTAGTGGTGATTTGATTCATTCAAACGACTCAAATCTTTCATTAATAAAAACATTTAAAAAAAAAACGGGAAGACATCTCTTTCAAAGGCAGTTTAATCTAATTTTCATATAAAAGTGGGTCTTTTTGCAGAAAAAATCAACCAAAACGAGATCACGAGAGCATTTTGCGCTGAGAGAAGTTTGATACTGTATGGGATTTGATTCATCCAAATGACTCGAATCTTTTATTCATAAAAAACAGAATAAAAACGAGTAGACACTTCATTCAAATGCAGTTAAACCTACTTTTTCTAAAATAAAAACAAAAAATAAAAACAAATTGAATAAAAAGAAAATCAACCCAAGCGAAATCAGGAGAGCAATTTGCGCTGAGAGAAATTTGTAGCTAGTGGGGATTTGATTAATTCAAATGACTCGAATCTGTCATTTATAAAAAAACATAATAAAAAACGGGAAGACACCTCTTTCAAAGGCAATTTAACCCATTTTTTAAATATAAAAATTGTTCTTTTGCAGTAAAAAAAAATTACCAATGAGATCAGGAGAGCACTTTGCGCTGAGAGAAATTTGTAGCTGGGGATTTGAATCTTTCAAATAAATCGAATCTTTCATTAAAAAAGAAAAAGAAAAACATACAAAACGAGATGACATCTCATTCAAAGGCTGTTTAACACACTTAAAATTGCAGAGGAAGGAAAATCGGCCAAAAAAGAGACCATGAGAGCAATGCACTGAGATAACTTTGTAGCTGGCGATTCATTTAAATGACTCAATTCTTTCAGAATGGCCAAAGCTAAATATCTCTTTTGCAAGTTTCTGATGTACAGTAATTTACTGTGCAGTAGTGTAGGTTTTTGTCTCTGGTTTGGAACTGGTCATTATTATCTATTGACATAATAATTATACTGTAAAAAGTATGTTTTTTTTTTGTTTTTTTTTTCAAATTTTACAATGTAAAAACCTTTAGCATAAAGCTAGTTCTGATAGCCTGAATGTAGAAGCCATGTTCAAAAGCATTAAAAAACACTTTTAAAATTGTATATTTGATCTTAAATGTATTCATACTCTTCACAGCCAATCATTTATTACCCAAAATGCATTATGGTGTCACATTTATCTAAGTTGTACTCAAATTGAAACAGATAACTTTAACTATCAAGCGTGAGAGCTTTAAGAGGACTCAAGATTTGGTTTAAGAGGTGATTGCTCCTCATATCCTTTAGGTTTTTGTGACAGTGGGTTTATACGGCATTAGAGGGATTACAGAGGGAATCTGGATCATTTAGAGAGGGAGGATATACAGTTGAGCTTCAGTAAACAAAGCTAGATACAACATGACTCGGGTTAATGCATTTCAACGGCATGTTTAATGATAAAGGTGTTTGCTTTGACAACAGTTGCCTTGTCATACATTTTTATCATTGTTTGTAAATATTTTGGGGGAAAGAATGCAAAACAAATTCCCTAGAAATCAATGAAATCTCTAAAAAGATAACTTAAAGGGGTGAATAAAAGTGAGTGAGTGAATTGGAGCACTGAAGGGATGCTGTTTTTGTGTTATGCAGTTTAATAAACCCCTTCAGACAAATCATATTGTCAACTTCTTGGTCAAATCCTATTTATCTCTTATGTCTATTAAGAACGAAAATATTTGGATTTCTGTCATAGATAATATTGCTTAAATAAAGTGTTTAGAAACACACTGAGAGTATTGCGATGTGGATGCCATCTTGTGTAAAAAAATCATTCAGCGAGTAAACTCGCAGTGCATTATAGGTATTCTCTAGCCCTTGAGTGTACATTGTTTGTACACTCGTTATTGCAGTGCATTGTGGGATTGATTGAACGCACTTTAAAATGTCCACAATGGTTTCAGACATCACTACAAACGGCTGCTCCCACAAATAGTGCACTATTAAAGGGTAAATAGAGGGCATTTTCACCTCTCCAAGCAATTAAATAATAATAATAATAATAACCTAAGGTCAAAAGGTCAACCAGGTTGTTGCGATGCCTGTTACAGAGTTAAAGTGACAATTCTGAAACACTCACACACACAAAGAAAGTGTCAAACTTTCTAACTTTGGCTTAAAAACTGAAATAGCCTTTCTGACAACCCCAATCTCCTCTGTATAATAGATTGGAAAATATTAGTCTCCTCTTTGCCAATAAACAGAGGGTGCTGGGATATATATTCACATGACTGTCTCTTCAAATATGGTGATATTCTCAGCTCCAGGACAAACTCACAGCTGTTTATTTAGAGAATAACACACCGCTTCTTAACTGCCAGCAAATATGATCCCAGAGGGCTAAAACCAGTCTGATGATTGCAGTGTTTGCAGTCCACAAGCCTCAATGTGAAACAGAGGTTGTTTATGGGGGCAGGATTCAGCTGGCATAACAAACAAAAACAATGAGTTCAGTTGTGCATTATTATCAGCTTTACCAGAGTAAACATTCAGGTGCAGGGCCTTCTTATTTATACTTACAGGTGAAAGTTGTTGTGGTGGTTCCTTCAGTGGCTTCTGTTCTTGGCTATGAAGTCAAAAACAGCTGACGGGTAAAATATATATAAATCCACTTCACATTTTTAAGACCCTATGCACTGTAAAAGGCAGAATTGGCACAATGTTACTGTAACCCACCGGTCCTAATGCACCCAAGCTGGGCTGAGCTGGGATTCTTTGTATACGAGTCGGTTGCTCTAACAAGTAGAAAAGACCACGGTCTCTACTGTCAGTCGCTAGAGCACCTTTATGCTGTGTTCACACCAGACGAAAGGCGCATCAGGCGCGAGTGATTTACATGTTAAGTCAATGCAAACGCGTGAATAGACATCCTGCGGCGCCATACGCTCGAAAACGTTTGACGCACTTTGTGCATTTTGAGCGAATCGCTCGAGTTAAAAAATCTGAACTTAAGCGGACATTCGTGCCACGTTAACCAATCAGGAGCTTGCTCTTGTTGGGGCGTGATTGTGACGTACACCTGTTGTTGGAGTCCCGGCGGAAATCCTCCAGTCGACACCTACAACAGTGCATCAAACTGGGCTTGGCTCAGTCAGAAGCACCGCTGAAAACCTCCATTATCCAGGTTAAGTTTCTGGAGGAGTTTATGACCTCACAGAGCTGGATGCACCTCTAAAAGGATCTAGTGCACTCAGACAAGGTCCTAAACGTATCGACGTTGTTTTCAACCTTCCTAAAACACATAAACACTGTTGTTTACTTAATAAAATCCATGTTAGCCATTTAGCAATGAAGCTAGAGTCAGCAGGCAGACAGAAGGCCTGCCCATCACGCGAATCCGCTTCTGTTCTGAAGTGAAATTTGACGCGGGAACGAAGCGGATATGACGCACGAATGAAGCGAGTAAACTCAAATATTCACGCGGCTATTTACACGCGAATGCTGGTGTGAACACAGCATTAAAGGTCAGAGGAGTGAGGTCAACCAGCATAGCACTTCACTAGCTGGCCTCAGTTACACTCACCCCCCTAAACCTCACTCCCATCCCTGACGAACCCCCACAGTTAATTACATTTTTAATTGTTGTTCTTCAAATAATCTTTAAAAACTGCTTTAATTCAAACTAAATTAAACAGATGCTTAATTTGATATAAGATTATATTTATGCCATACTTCTAAGCACATGATAAGACAAATATATCTAACAATCTAAAACAGCTGAAATGAAATATATGTTGCTACTGTTGACTTGCATAACGTTTCAATTTCATAACATGGATAAAAGTGTCTGCTAAGTTAATAAATGCCATATCATTAGTTTCAATGACTTTTCCAGGTCTAAAATAAATCACGATATCATTTTCCAGGTCTAAAAATCATATTTGTACAGATAGAGATCTGTAGATATCTATATATAGATAGATATATATATATATATATATATATATACATATATATATATATATATATATATATATATATATATATATATATATATATATATATATATATATATATATATATATATTATTATGCTATATAAAAAATCCATGTCTAAAAGCATGTAAATAATTAAATATCAATCATATAATAGTTATCTCAGTTACACAATCTTAACAAATATGATTTTTAGACCTGGAAAATGATATCGTGATTTATTTTAGACCTGGAAAAGTCATTGAAACTAATGATATGGCATTTATTAACTTAGCAGACACTTTTATCCATGTT